CTTTTTTTCCTTCTAATTTGTTATTCTTTTCAAAATAACACACTGTTATTTACTCACCAATAACACACAATTATCCTTGCTTTTATTTATTGGTTTAATCTCGGGCTTTGTTGGCGTCCGTCAGGAACTGAATTTCAAAATAAAAATAACCGGAAACAGACATAGGTATTTCGAGCGATTACCCAAGATCCTCAGCTATGGTTTTAAGCTCGCTTATTGGATGTTTTAGCCGCAATGCATGCTGGGATTTGGTGTTTATATGATATGAAATCCGGAAAACATTTTAAAAGAATAAAATAATACTTAATTCCGAGCTCTCTTGCTTTTCTCTTTGAAAGTCATCACATAACGGCATTGTAATACACGGTTCGGCTGCATTGTATATTACAGATCTGCCGTAGTTCTTTATTTATAGAGCCCTGATGAGAAGACCTTTGGAAAAACTGAGAAAATGCCGCCGAAACTGAATACTTGACGTGGATCATAAATATATTCAACAATTAAACAACATCTTCAATTTCTCTTCACACAATACGTCTCCTTGCAGTATCAACACTAATTCGGCTGACTTTTACATTTGATCTAATTCACAGATAGGTTATATTTACACCATAACGGTGCACAGCTGATATAAAAGGACTGTAGTTTTTAAAGATATTACTGATTTTCTTTGAATGTAAGAATGTAAATACTGAGTCTGAAATAGTATAGCAATATGCTGTAAAATTATGTGAAAGCATGCATAACACTACACATCTTCAGATGTTGTACGAAAACATAAGTGTCCTACATTTATAATACAAAGTTATTATGGCTGTGTGTACCTTGTGTGCACCTCCTAGTGGTTAAAGCACGTTATTGAATTATTGTTATATTTGATTAAAAAATATTAAGAGTACATACTTTCATAGGGGGAAAGTATAAATATAGAATGTAAAAAATCAAGAAGATACTCTAAGTGATCTCTACAATAAAACAGTTTAGTGCAGAATGTACAAAGATATTAATAGGAGGAGGTGTAAAACAGAAAAACGAATTAACCTTTATTTAAACATTAAATAATACTTTAGATTAAGGTCTTCTTTTAAATAAGAAAAAAACTTTGGGGGTATCTATCTACAGATAAATATTAAGCCTGACAAAGTACTTAACGTCTAATATATTGCTTTCCTGCAATGTTAACTATGTTGAAGCACTTATTTTTAACTGATATTATACATATGAATTATACTCTTATGTATGTAGATAAAATAAGACATTTGCAGAATATGACAGTTTGATGGTGGAGGTACACACATATTGATAGATGTCTTGTTGAGGAACCTGTGACCCAAGTGTTTCATTCATTGCATAACTACACCGTAGTTGTGTATATGATATGTCAATAAACCTTTGAAAATCTTGAAAGGGATGTGCAAAATAGCCATAATATACAGTCTTTAATTAACTATTAGTAGAGAATAACGAGTAATGAATATACTTTATTACTCGTTTCCATTCATGTCAATTGCAGATACATGTTTAGTCTTCTCAAGCACCAACTATCAAATATCTCTCCTGATTGTTGGCACTTGACAATCACCTTACCTGAATTTTACTCAGGTGTAACTAAAGTCTGATTTAAGGGTTGTTTATATTTCACATAATTAATCAGAATCTGCAAAGTAACTAAAATAAATGCAGTGGAGTAAAAATACCAGGTTAACCTCTGAATTGTAGTGGAGTATAATTACAAAGTAACAATGAGCTGTCATGTGGGTATTAATGCTGCGCATTATGGACACAAGCGATTTTCACCCATTTATTAATTATATGTTTTACATTTGATAACACCAATGTGTTTAATACTGACAACTTCTAATTGTGGGAAAAACAAAAACGTTCAGTAGAGACGTCCAGAACATTTTGCGAAACACAATAGCCAGCATGTGTAGTTCTGGGGGGGGCGTTCGATTCCAGTTTTGGATAGTCTGGCGTGGTTTCGTTCCATTTCACACAGCTGTTTGACGCTCTGCGTAACCTTATGGGACTGTAGTCCTAAACGATAGCTGGGGATAATGGGTAGTGTAGTGTCTTCAGCCATCCTAAACTCAGAAATGTTGACAATCGCAGTGATGCTCGAAATGTCCCTTATAGGCCTACGTCTGTTTCCGGTTATTTTTATTTTGAAATTCAGTTCCTGACGGACGCCAAAAACGCCCGAGATTATGGAATTAAACCAATAAATAAAAGCAAGGATAATTGTGTGTTATTGGTGAGTAAATAACAGTGTGTTATTTTGAAAAGAATAACGAATTAGAAGGAAAAAATATTTAAAAAATACAGATTTCCGTATTCTGAGGCTCTGAGCCCCATTTATTTTCCTCACAGACGGCAACAAAGGTCCGAAATTATACGATTTAAAACAAAAGCAATAATTGTGGCTTGATATTGAGTAAGAACATGTTTTTATGAACCACACAGCTTCCGGTCTCCCACGACCCGACCGGAGAAAAAAGGCTTCTTTGAGACAAGCGAGACCTGCGCAGACCTGCGCAATTTCGATCAACGTCTTGCTCGTACGTTGCATGATGGTTAGTCATTTTGTCCGACTTGCTCTGGAGGCCCGGCCTACATGAGACGTTGAAATCTCGCGGGACAAAGACGCCCTCAGCCTTGAGAGCGAGGCGCGGCGAGGCGCGGCGAGGCGCGGCGAGACGGCGCAGTTCCTCTCCACGGGCTGCGGAAGCTAAATGCTTAATGGGAAACGACTCGCTGGTATCTCGAGCTGAGCGCTCATTGGTGGTTTTTACCACGTGCTGGTGATGAAACTCTCCAATTGGCTCAGCAAAAGTTTGTTGTTGTTTTGTGTCAGTTTTACGTCGACACATCCATTCCCATTTTTCATCATTGTTCCACAATATTTATCATCATTAAATTAATATCCATATATTTTATACAATACTTGCACTGCTTACCATTTTCATACTTTATATATCTTAGCATATTCATTCACACTGTTCATACTGCTCACAGGCTGATATCTGTGTATTCATAGCCCTCACTGTTTATTCATCATTCAATTCATTCTATATTTTATTCTGTAGATTGTGTCCATTACTTTTCACTTTACTGCTTGTTGCACCTGGTTAGAAGCTAAACTGCATTTCGTTGTCTCAGTACCTGTAATATGTGCAATAACAATAAAGTTGAATCTAATCTTGAGCAGGAACAAATGTATTTACTTAGTACATATCTGACATTAACGATTAAACACATGTGTGCATTCTTTATAAATGCAAACCGAGTCAAGCCGACTCCGGAGGTGGCGGTATGCACCTTAAAGTTGTTTGCAATCCGCCAAAAAAACGAGAGAAGAAGAAGAAGAAGACGAAGCCGACTCCGAGCTGTCCGACTTCAGGCGAGCTTTTTGAGACCTCCCCCGGCTGGGATCGGCTACTCTCGTCTACTTTCGAGGCGAGCCGCAACGCGTCTCAAACAAGCCTAATGACGTGCTGCAGGCAGTAGAAATACATTGCTTTTAAAATCGTGCTGTGCAACACGAAAAAAAGGGGCAAATCGTGTTGGTGAACACGAATCAATAAATTAAAACTCGTGTTGGTGAACACGAAATGCCGTGAGACTGGGTTGTCCAGCCGGCGTCCCGGAGCTAGCCCACTGCGGCTCCGTTAGGTCCGGGCGGTGGAGTCCGTCTTTTCTCAACGTGTGAATGACAAGCATTAAGAATAACAAAATATAGCTAATTCTCTTGCAGATTGTCTCATTTGATTATGAATGTAACGTTTATATAGGGGAACTACACTGTTAGCAGTAACTTGGTATGCATGTATTTCATGTTAGTTTAGCTTCTTAGCCTGAGCTAGCTCTGTTTACTTCCAGTTCGGAGGCAGCAGGTCCCGCCTCGGCTCCGCCTCTTTGCCCTTATTTGGAGCAGGCGGGATTAGACTCTGACGTCACAGTCGAGCTGCTAGTGGCCGACTCCGCCTACTAAGGGCTTCACGGCAACTCTGCAGAATCCTATGGGTGACGTCACGGACACTACGTCCATTTATATATACAGTCTATGGTTGTGACATGCCGGAGGAGAGCTGTCAGTTTCTCCACTCGCTGCCGCGAGAGCCGCGCTCTGCTGCTGGCTGAGTTTAATTCCACTCCAGATAACGTTTGTCTGAGAGGGAAGAGGACAGCTCTTCTTCCAATTTAAATATGAAACCCAGACTTTGACAGATGCGATACGAGATGTACCGTATGTAAAGCGACTTCCTCCCTGGAGCGAGCCAGCAAATAGCAGGTCGTCCAGAGGAAACCACACCCTCATCCCTCCTCTGTGTAGCGGCTCCAGCCTTCTCTACACAAAAATGGGAGGAGCCAGGAAATATCCGAACGGCAGACGATTGTCTGGTCTGATATTCCCTGAAATGAGAAAACGCAGGAATTTCCTGTGTTTCGGGATGATGGGTACGTGGAAGTATGCATCCTTCAGGTGGAAGTGAACCAGTCGTCCTGGTGAACACATTCTAGCACCTGTTTGATCGTCAGCATGTGGAATACTGACAGATCGAGGATCAGCCCCAGTCTTTTTTGGGATTAGAAAAATAACGGGAGTGAAAACCCCTGATTTTCCTCCCTTTGAGGAACCCTGGAAATATCCTCTTTCAACAGGAGTTCCATCAGCTCGGATTGGAGCGCAAGACATACACTGTAAAACTTAATAAATTGTGGTAACTTAGAAAAAGTATGCAAACTCGTTGCCTCACAATAAGTAAGTTAACTTAAAGAGCTTACGAAATGCTTTTAGCACCTGTTAGTGGGCTTAGTATATGATAGAGGTTGCATTTGTATTGTGAAATGTGCCATATGATTTTTTTATTATTGATCTATTTTTAATAAATCACGATTATAACAGCATACAAAAGTTGTTGGTTAGTAACAATCGTTCGTTGCGCCGGAAACATCAACTTCGGCCATTTCCGGCGGTGACGTCATGAGTAGAACACAGCTGAGCTCAGTCCCGTTTGAATGCATTGAAGGGCCAAATATTATGACAAAGGATGCACAGCAATATATGTTGTATGGGGATGTGGGGCCGTCTCAACATCTGGTTATGGGATGTTTTTGTGGCCAAAAAATTATCAAATGTTGCGTATATGGACAAAACAAGTGCGTCGTATGAGGCGGACTTTTACTGGACCAGGTAACACGGGGTCGATGAAACCGACGATGTGTGGGCAGCACATCGAGAGATCGTGTTTCGAACAATCAACAATGCCCGCTAAGGAGAGAGAGTAAAAGCTTTCTCGAAGGTTCGTTTTGCTTTCTTACAACGTTACGTTAACTTAACCTTACGTTTGCTATGAAGCTATGTTACTTCCCTTAAGAGCTAGCTGTCTTAGCTAACAACAGTTAGCAGCTAACGTTTTCTGCAGTTTGTGTTTCCACTGAAAAACGTGATGTAGTTATTTAAGGGTAAGTTAACTAAACGTTATCTTGCAAGTAGAGAGAGTTAAGTTGTGTTTAAAATCGTCAATGTAATGCACGTTAAAGGTTTTGTGTTGAGCATGAAGTTAGCTTTACTGTAGCTCACCAAAGGTTAGCATGTTAAGCTGCACTTTATGTGGCAGCTCGCTTAATACAAAGAGGGTTTTTGTGCTTCATTGTAAACTTTTCTTACAAATGTGTGTTAATCTACCTGAAATTGTAGGGACAGTTTTTTTCAACTCAACTATACAGACCATTATTGAGGAGATGCAAAACATACTGTAAATGAGTTGGGTCCGACATATACTTTGAGTAATGTTAGTTTGCTGCTAAAAAAAATGAAACATTATCAGATGAGGACATCACCAAAGTGTGTGAGTCTGTCAGGGGATTTGATCTGTTCTCTGCATGTCGTACAGGGCATATGTACACACTGCTCTGGTATGAATTAAAAATATAATTGTAAAATGTAAGTCTCTTGCTCTTGTCATCATTCAGGCTTTGCATTTGAACTCCTATGACTGGTTACGGACTTGAAGGGAACGTCTTCCTGACATCCAGGAAAATGGTGAGATTCTAATCCATTTCAATGCCAACAACAAGTCATTGTTTTTTACTTTTTTAATATGATTTTTTGGGGAATTTCTGTTTTATTGGATAGTAGAAATCTACTGGAACCTAACACCAGAGAGAGGGAGGAGATGATATGCAGCAAAAGGCCCAGCCGGATGGTTGCTGCTCCGTGTGGAACGTGTTCTATCAGGTAAAGCACTTTGGTACCCAGTTATTTATGGTATTGAGTTTGAATTTAGCCTTTGGAAGGTAATTTCCAATAGTGCATTGTAAAGACTGAAAAAACATTTCTTTGTCTCTTAACATTCCTGTAATAATTTGTTTTTTTATTGTTGATATTGTTTTGTTCTTGATTTGTGATGTGAGAATCACTTTGCAATTGTGTAAGTGCTATATAAATAGTTATACTAATATTATTGTTGTTACCATCATTACCATTATTAAAAATGTTTTCTTTATTTATCGTTGCAGAAAGGATCATGCCAGCCCACATCAAACACCTGATCAAGAACTTGTGAATCTTCAGGCAGAAAAGATGAAAACACCTGTTCCAGTTTCCTGTACATGGAACCATGCCAGTCCTCTGTTCCACATGTCTTCAGTCAGTCCTGGGGCCTGTACTACAAAGCAGGATTTTCGCTTAGCCGGCTAACTTCAGGGAAAACTCCGGCTTTCCGGGCTTACGAAGCTGGTTCTCTTTTTAGCGGGCTAGATCTCCATGGTAACTGATGCTGAGCGGCTGAGCGGCTAGCCTGCTCCGGAGCAGGTTAGGTTGCAGGATAAGAGCTCAACTCAGTGAAAGCACCGCCTGCTGACCAATCAGAGCTCAGTGTGCGGAGTTTAAAGCGATCAAGTCATATTACAGGAGAAAGGAAATACAGAAAAGCTGCCGTTGCAGGAAATACGGCCGGCAAAAATCACCGACTGTGTGAACGTGAACATTAATAGAATATCACCTCCCATCTTCAGAGCAATCTGACTATTATAACATTAGCGTTAAGAAAGCTTACTTAAATATCCGCCACAACATACCGGATCAGAGTAACATTAAGTACAGTCCGCGGCATATCACATCATAATGTATCATATATTTCATTATCTGAGTCAGCTGAGCCGTATCTGGCCGTGCAACACTCACAGTGTCACATACTGTATGCAGAAGTATTATTTTAAGCAACACATTAAGTTGACGAAACACTCGAGTCAAATGTAATTAAAGTCAGATCCACTCGTGTTTTAGACGGGGCAGTGATATCATAAACCTGTTAATGTACGCATTCAAACACGTTTTCTTTTACCAGCTGTATTCACCTTGCAGGTGCAGCTCTGTGGCTTTGATCCTGGATAAAGTGTTTAAGTCATGGCTGTTTAAAGTTTAACGTCTTCATATTCTGTCTAATATTATAGTTTACTTTTCATTCAGGAAGTATGACGCTGCGCTGTCAGTACGCTTCTCCATGTTTGTGATTGGTCGAATGCTCCAAATACCACCCCTTTCATGTGAACGCGCACCTAACTAGATAGGACACGGCTGGCTTGAGCGATCCACTTGATAACCTGGGTCGTAGGACCGTTTAGCGAGAGCGCGTATGTTTTGGATTAGGCCAACCGGCTAACTCAAACATATTCAGGTTAGGTTGAACCAGCTTCGTAGTACAGGCCTCTGGACCCTATGACTCGGACACTAGTTCTACCAAGGCTTACTAGAGGTAAGAGTGGTAGGAGAGGAGTGGAGTTATCTTTGTATTTAGGCTGCAAGTCGACAAAGGTGATCAGATGCTAATAATGATCCGATTCATTTGATATGGATTGTCTGCCAATACCGAATCCTGATCCGATTCTTCTATTTCCCAGATAATACAGCTGCACCGTGTACACTAGCTCTTATTTGTTTTTGCCATTGTAATTCACCATAAGCAGTTGTTGACTGTAACGTATATGCCAACCAACTGTAATTTGTAATGTATTATACTTTAACGGGTCTGGCAACCACAGCAGCCCAAATGTTAACGTAAATGTCAAGTTTTCTTTTTACAGTGTACTTATATCGGTACATTTCTTTTCAGTTTGCGTGAAGAAGTGGCTTCAACAGACAGAAGTGCAGGCCAGATTGGGAAAGGCTGGACGCTACACAACGGGAAACATTATGGACATGAACAAGGAAAAACCAAAAAACACTTTCTTTGTTGCCTTTTTCTTATCATATATAGTGTTACGGTTTTTGTTACCATTTAAATATTGAATTCTATGTATTACTTTTATTTTAAATCAAATGCACCGGTTTTAGATAGTATATTTATTTTTGATGTGTAGTTTGATTTGCAGGTTGGTTGTTATTTGTATAATTATTGTATTGTTACTGTGTATTTTATTATAACTAGCTATTTATTAAATTAAAATACTGTTATGAACACTATACAATGTCTTTATTTTTGGTAGATACCAGAATACATGACACAATGAATCTTTGTAATATATGTATGTTCTCTTGTTTAAATAATCATACCAGTATTTAATGTGTGCTGGTCACTTGGAATCCTGGTAACCTCCCAGCAGGGTATATTTAATACTATTATTAAACATAAGCTGGTGATAGATGGATAAACCAGCCATCCTGGCCAGCTAAAGTGTTCAAAACCCTCTAAACCAGCCAACCATTCCAGCCTAATATCTACTGGCTGGTCAATTCACAACAGCCTGCTACATTTATCTAAGCTGGTTTTTTCAGCAGTCATTATTTATTTACTATTTTTTGAGAATCTATGAATTATGGTCAAATGTATACCAGTCTTCTGTTGCCTAGGCCAAGTTTGCCTGCTACATTACGATGTATTATTATTGATTGACTATTTATTGAGAATCTATGAATTAAAGTCAAATGTATACCAGTCTGTTCTGTTGCTGTAAGAGAGGATCATCACCCCCTAGTTCGCTCCCGTCTGTATCTCTACCGCTACTTGAATACTGTGGCTCAAACTGGTATGGTTCCACCACGTTAGATTCACCCGCATGATATGATTCCACCACACCGGCATCCTCTTCAATAAAATCCTCCTCTTCTTGAAAGTGCACCGAGTCTATTGACGACTCACTGTCACTCGATTCTGTCTCCAGAGTCCGACATCAGCCATATAGGTAGTGTATTATTCAACAAGTGTTCAATTCGTGACGTGCGTGACGTCACTAACCGGCGACAGCTGTTTTGTTCGGAGCGGTCGTGTAACATCGGAAGCGAGCATGAAAAGTTGTAATAAACCACGATTTATAAATACAGCGGGCATATTGTCATGAATGACATGATTTCCCATTAATAATAGTATATCTATTATCGTAATAAGAACAGTATTGTCCTTCATTTCGTAAGCTCTTTAACTTAGAATGGTGAGTATGAACAACTTGTGTATTCTAAGTGTGCTTCAATTAATTTTGAGAAGTACAGCTGACACAAACCTTTTAAGTTATGTAAACTTATGTAAACTAAGTTATGTAAACTTAAAAGGCATGCTTTGCATTAACCTATTTTTTTTTATTTGTGTGAACTCAATGAATAAATTAAACCCTACTTAAATATACAAATCACCAGAACTTAACCCTTTTAAATTCTACTAACTCGTAATTTCTAAGGTTTACTATTAAATTAAACAAACTAATTCCTGCTAACTAAGATAATTGTACTACAACAAATCTCTAAACACGTTGTGTAAACTCCAACAATCTCCAAAAATAATGCATTAAAAACACAAATTGATTCAATTGCAATATAACATTTATTTTCAAGTGCCAACAAACAGTGCTTTGTAAGTACTCAAAACCCTTATCTTAATAAAAACAGCAGTGCACAACACACCAATTGTAAAAATAAAAAATATATAATGACCTATATGAAGAAGAGTACATTGTACTTTGCTCTCAACAATTGACAGAGTTATAACAGTTTCCCCAGAGTAACAAACTTTTGTCATAACATTTAACGGTGCAACTTTTTTAAGTGCCAAGTATATCTGATAGTTGATGACTATCTTGACTAAGGTCTAATCCAGTAGAGGGTTTCTCAAAGTTAATAGTTTAGGTGAGAGAGCTTTGGTTCCCAGTCCAAGCATCACTGTTTGAACGAACCTCAGAGTATTTGCCATGCATTTTGGGTGATCTAAATGCAAAGCATATATCAGGCCAAATAACAGGCCTGTGGAAAGTTTTTGATCTTTTCCATGACAATACCTTCCTCAAGCACAATGTCAGTGGAGATGGGCTCGAGTTGCATTGAGCTTGGACCCTCCTGAGGACTGTCTTCGCTGAGAACAGTCAGCACACCAACAGTGACGGATGATAGGGCCTCATCTCTCGTTGTATCCTGCAAAGAAAAACACGTTATTTAGACTATCATCGCTACCTATTAGAGTAGGTCTTCCTATGAAAACATTCATGTTGCATTTGCATTAAAGTCTTTGCTAAAAAATGTAGCTGAAGTACACACTCAAACTGCGTTGTAACATTATATCCAAAAAGGTTCTGTAAATGTGGTATGAGGAAACTAATGCTATGGATGCAAATACAGCTAGGAACGTGCATTTATTTTACACCTCATTTCTAATCTAGACTCCTGGTCATGGAATTTAGTGTACAGTATTTTGAACACACCAAATTAAATATTTTGGTTGCAAGTTTGTGTAAATAGGGGATATGACTTTTCAATAAATGCAAACCAAACAGTTTTTTTGTGTTCAAGTACTTACAAAGCATGTCTTGAAGAAATCCTTGGAGTCGTCGCCAAGAACAATCGGAATGCCTTTGAGGACAACAGAGCGCTGTTCAGTCACGTCCGGTGTTTAATGATAGAGATAAAGAAGATAAAGGTTAAATGACAAACTCACAAGATGAAACATTTTGGCCTTTTCCATCTTTTGGAGGGGTTGTTTTAATTATTTTAGAAGGCTTTTGAAGTAGTACCATATCGTCATCAATGTATGTGACAAAAAGTTGCTAAGTTATATTACTTACCGGCCAGTTGATGCTCTGCAGTTTCTGTCCCACCGATCCTTTTTTTGACTTGAACAGTTGGATGAAACGTGGGGTGTGCTGGCCCAGAGCCTCAAAGAAGTCTGCCTCGAGTTTCCGACTGGTAATCCGATTAAATTCGGCAAATACCTGAAAAAGTAGAGAAGGGGGTGGGGTAGGAGATGGAAAGCCAGCACATTAGGAAGACATTAGTTTAAATCATAACAATTGTGCAAGCAGGCAACCACTATGGCTTAGATAGAAAGGCAGGGTACACGTCTAGCCCACAACAATATAATATTGTATGCTGAGATTTCAGGCCTCTATAATTAATATAATATTGTTTTGATTTATTGCTGCAACGTTTTGTTTACTAATTGATTAGTCGATCAAAAAATTAGAACAATAATATTTGCCAAATGTTATGATAATGAAAAATGAGCAGAACTTACAGGTCCACTGCATCGAAGGTTTTCGATCTGCTTGGCAAATCTGAAAATCAAGAACGACAAACCAATACAAATAATCAAACATCACATATACAGCAATTTAGAAACGACAGTGTTGTATTTACCTGATTTAGAATTCAAAACGTGTATTATGAAATAAGTGAAAGTGAGAAGAGGACTAAATTGCATCCATGCTATTGTTGTGATCAAATTCTAGTGATGTTAAAGGGCCCATGTCATGGCCATTTCCACAGATCATAATTCCATTGTTGAGGTCTACTAGAATAGATTTATATTGTGCAATGTTCCAAAATCACATTGGTTTCTCATACAGCATCTCTAAACTACGTGTATTCACTGAATTTCACTCTGTCCTAAACGCC